TATTCCATCTCAAAAGAGAGAATTCTGTGAATGTGCAGTTCAATGTTTACCAGATGGTGGTGGTCTGTGGTCCAGATCCAGTCAAAGAGGTTTGAGACTTGATGTACTCCATCTCTATGGAGGATCTTGAGTTGTTTTCTATTCCTATTTCCTAATGAATAGTTCCAGCTGGCCTGCACTATTGCCAGTTTTAAAGGAAGTATGTAGAATTTGTCTGGTTTAGTGCTCCAGCTCATCCTATGTAGAATTCAAAAACTACTTGCAAAAACTGAGTAGTAGTGCAATGTTTTTTGGGATGGAAAGCGTGCGTGAGGTAGGAGACCGAAGCATGTTGTAGTTGCACCTCACTGTTAAATTTGCTCCATTTTACACAAAGAATGAAACTTCATCTGGAGGGCAAGAACTTTGTCTTTCTTTGATGTCAGTTTAGCTCTCCTTTTTCTGTTGCTCAGTGAGTTTTGAGACCTTCCTCACCAAGTTCAAAACCTCGAAGTGGCTGTGGTGAAAATGCCCTATGATCTTATCGTTAGAGGGGACACTAGAAAACTAAGAAACTGAATTCAAATCTTACTCCTTCCTCCAATCTAGCCATAGACTTTAGCCATTTTTCCAGCCTTCAGCTGCTACTCAGTTTTTAAGTCCTTAATAGCAATAAGTAGTATATGTAGCCCAGAGATATATGGCAAATTTTACCCCAGACGTGAATTTTTTGCATTATTTTTCCCTATGTAGCCTGCAGACGTCCTCCTCTATCCTTATTTCATTAGTTTAGCTTAGCTTTCTGTAATTGAAAAGTGTAGCAGAGTTCATACATATTTGAATGAAATCTTCATTTGTTCATTCATTTATTCTGTTGTAATGATACAAGTAAGCATAATACAGTTATGTTACAGTTACTTATGAATATCTGCAAGAAAGTATCCATGTATATGTTATCACTTCATATATACTTTCTCCCTGCCAAGTAACACCAGGAAGTTTTCCTTTTTGCATTAATTTTAACAGGATATGAATTTGCCTGTCTCCTCTTCCTATACGGTACATGGAATATGAAGAGCATCATGTTCACTAATCTTTCAGTCATCTCGACTGATTTTCTGCACGGTGATTTTTCCCATGCCTATTTATATCTTGCCGTCTCTAAATGCCTCTTTCCACCACTGAAAGGGCTATATTTCAACTTGTCATCTGCATTCCAGCTGTTTGTGCAGTCTTTGAGAGGATACCTGAGAAGTACCCCTGTGTTTTTAATAACTCTGGAAAATTCTGTAGTAGTGATGTGCAAAGGTCCTTTTTTGTGATACTATATAGACTTCACTAAGCACTACACCGTTCTTCAGGTATATAGAGCTGACAGATCCCTCTGTAAGGGATCTTAAGGGCCCACTGAGACTCTTAACGAAGCGTCGCTCACAGGACGAGTGTGTGTGGAGTGACCTATATCTGTATATGTGTGTAGGTTCTTTTGAAGGAATAGTGTTACCTACTAAAACCAATATTCTGCAAGACATGTAGAGAAAATGATATTTTTATGCCATCTGCCCTTTTTCTTTCTCTTTCCTCAGCATCTCTTTTAGAGAGGGGATGGTGTAGAGCATGCTTTTTTTGTCTGTTGTGTATCTCTTTTTTTTCCCATGTACACAGCTACAAGTATATTCACCATAAGAATATCCCTGTACACCTCTTCAGGTGCATCTGATAGGGTGTCAAAAAAATATATCGAACTAAAAACGCATCTACCTTTTAAAAATTAAGTTACTGGAAGGAAGCTTTGCTTGCCCTCCCCCACCAGCTGAGCTGCTTTTGAAATGCAAATTATTACTTTCTTTTTGGCTAATGAATAACATTCATTTGGAGAGCAGATGTCTTTATAAAAATAGTTTAGGTAGTTCCTGGTAATGTCAGTGTGATTCTGTTGAACTCATCAAACCCTAACTGGCTATTCTGAATTTAAAACTACTATTAAGTATGAAATTAGAGAAAATAGATCATTAATTTCTGTTCAGTCTCACATCCATCTCCTACTGCTTTTTCTCAAATTATGTTCATGTTTCCTGTTTGCTCATGTTAGGAAAATCACAGCTTTCCCCTCCCATTTGAACTGTTATGCAAATAAGCTGTAATCTAAACTAGGAAGTGCTAACATTCTATTTTAAACTTAGAAAAATTAAATTATCAGAGATGAAATAACATTTTTCTAATTGCTTCTTAGATCATTTTAATTGCCCTAACTTTTTTCCTCCCCTAATATGATTAAATATTTAAATGCTGAGCTGGTATCTTGCTTCTGTTTCAGTGCTTCTCTATTAAAGGAAGTGTTGCTTTTCCAATGATAATATATCTGATGAATATTTCTGCTAGAGTGCATTAGTGGTTTTGGTATTTAGTGCTTCTGTTACAGTCCAAGGAGGTGATCTTAGACACTGCACATTGAGATGGCTTCTTCTTTGTGGCAGAACTATTTAACTGCATGCATTCTCTTAAATACTCTAAACTCCCTCTGCAAAGTTATAGCAGGGGAGAAAGAACAAGAAAGAGCTGAAAAAATTACATTAGTTTTTGCACCCTTATTTAATGTCCTATGTATGTCAAACATTTCTTTTAAGGTTTTTCAAACAAATACCAATAAAATAGCAAGTATTTGTACTCTTTTTTTTAAGTTGTTGCATTCATTTGCACAGACATGTCAAGCTATTTTTCTAATTTTCCTCTCCCCTGTCTTTCTCTCTCAACCTCTTCCCTTCCCCAAACCTGAAAAGTTAAGATCATTTCTTTCCCTCCTACTGTTGCATGCAGAGATGTTATCACATTCATGGTATGAAAAATCGCTCTTTATGGTCACATTCAGCTTTCATTTCCTGCTCATGAGCCAATGGTACCACTCAGCAATGAAGTGTTGAAAGCTGTACAAGATTCGTGAGAATAGACAAGCAGAGTGCAAGAGGTGGGTAAAAGGTTCTAAAGATAAACTATCTGGGATGGTAACGTTCCCTACATCCATCTAAGTATTAGCAATCTCTAATAGTAATATACCAACTGGGTAGAAATATTGTGATAATAATTCTGTGAAGAACTTCCTATTAACCTAGTTTTTCAAATAAGTTGGGAAAACTATGTATTTTGTGTGCTTCATTTCCGCCTACTGTTACAGAAACTGGAAAATGTAATTGCTTGTGCAATGGCAAATGCCAATGTGGTTATATGTATGCATAGCTTCCCAGTTTGTATGTACAGCTTTCTCTGAAAATCAAAGGCTTGGTTCAGTATCAATTCTGGGTCAAAACTAACATATATTCACTGTTTTGTTTGTGTGAAAGAATATATTAGTACTGAGTTCCTAATACACTGAGCTTATGGTTAACAATAGCTCTTCTCTTGTAAATATTCTCCTCTTAAATATTAATAGGATTTCTAAATTAACTTCTTACTCCTTCCTTTTCTTAAGAAATCTATGTTAAAAATCACAAAGTTAAAATTTCAGAAATGACTAGTAACCTGGCATATCTCCATTTTGGAGGGGTCTTCAGATTGTTTTTTGTCCAATTTTCAGAAGAAAAATGAGCATCTTAGGCTTTGAATGTTAAGTTTTCTTGCTATGTCTTAAGCTGGGCAGCTACAAACTAAAGCCCCCGAATGGTTACTAGTATTTGAAAGTATAATCTTACAATTCTATTAGCTGAAATTATTTTATACTAACTAGCCAGGAGAACTTCAGATTTATATAACTGTGATTCCATTTTCATAGGTTTTCTGGATAAATTACTGTCCTATTTTTGAGGTATGATGTAGTTTGTGCCACAGGGTACCATGAGTATTTTCATCAATATGGAAACTATGGGAAACATTGTTGTCTTTGCTTTTCATAAAGAGCTCTGTCATCTTAATTAACATGCTGAGAACTAGCTAAATGTGAAATGAAAAGCCCTCTTTTCATAGATAGCAAACATAGTCTGTTTGTTCTGATATTTATTGATAGCCATGATGCTTAGTTTCAATAGTATTTTTCTTTATGTTTTAAAGTATTCCTGTATATGCAAAAAAGATGCTTGCATAGAAATTTTCTTTTTTGCATTGTGGCAAAGCTCTTGTAAAAAGCCTTCAAATAAAGCCAGTAAAAAGCTTATCACTTTTTTGTTTTAGTTTTTCCCAATTATTGCATTTTTTATCACTGAACTTTAGGCTAATTAAATACTGGTAATATTCCTGCTATTTCTAGAACCATTCAAAGAATGGGATTCTGCAGACAATTCTAACACTTGAAAGCTGATCTTAAGCATTATTCAGAATGAAAGAACGAAAATATTTGAATAATTTGATCAACTCCAGTATTTTCATTCTATTTGTTTCCAACATTATATTACAAAACTGTATTTAGGAGATAACCTAAGATTTTAATCTATCAGATAGATCAGGAATATATACATTACTAAATAACTGTACACTTGGTGAAACATACAGAATTATACTGTTGATATAATAAATGATAAACAATAATATAAATAGTGTAACTGAAGGTATAATTCTTAAACAACAGGAATTACAATTCATCTGTCTTTAATTCTACTACCTTACTTCTTTTGTTATCTGTTTAGGGAAGATGCTTATTAATGTTAGCCAAGGTGGCCAAATGTAAAATGAATGTAAAATTAGCTGCTGCACAGAAGGGCCCAGAAAACTTAATTCAACCATTTTCATAGAATATTTGCTAAGGAAAAAACAAACCAAAATAACAGCAGCAAAAAAACACAACTTTACAAACAGAGGCTGTCTCTTGCCCTTCCAGAAAATTGAGTCCACAGTTCTGTAGAGCAAGAATGAGAAGATAAGGCACCTGAAAACTTAATTCTACCTTCCTGGAGTTGACTGTAGAGACTACAAAATCTTTTGAAGGGAGTCCAACTGATTTCACTCTAAGGAATAAGCTGTACTTACCACTACCGTGATTATCTGGTTTCAGTTTATAAGACTAAAGAGATATAAGAGGGCTTAAGGATCCTTACCTGTTGTTTAGGGCTTTTGAGTCCTGGGTTCCCCTCCTTGTCCAGCTGTATGTGATCAAAAGGAGGAGAGAGCAGCCATGGTTTCCAGCCAAACTATTTAGCATGTCAGTGATCACCTAGGCGAAATGAACAGAAAATATTGTGTTAGATGGTATACAGCTATCCGGAAAAAATATAATGTTAAAAAATTTTTTTTCCTAAAATTCTGCAAGTGATAAATAAGCAAGATTTAGTATATAGCATTGATAACATTATTTGTATCATCTAAGCCTAAGATAAGCGTAAAGGTATCCACAATTATCCCAAGCTTTGAGGGGGACCTGCCGTCCCAATTATTTGAAGTGAATATCTCAGACCTTAAAATTTTGACTCTCTAATGCTGTCTTCTCTGAGAACATAAAATACAATGACCGATTTCTTTAAATAAAGAAAACTTTTACCTGCTTGATGGAAAAAAAAGTAAAACGATAAAGAATTTAAAAACAAATCTCCCTTATTGCTCGCTGTGTTCCTGAAGGTTGAGCACTTTTCTGTAGCTTTAGTGTCAGTTCGCAGTTTCAATAAAATCCAAGCAGTATCTTGAGATCCCAGAAAAATCTCTTGCTTTCTAACACCTCTAGATCTGACTGTATATACATCGTGCTCTTGTTGACAGTCTATTAGTTAGCACTCGTGTTGCTGGATTCCTCTGGCAGTGTTTCTCGGTCAACCTGATTCATCCAGAAGCCTTTGTAGGCTGATCTTGCTCAGCTCTTCTTATGAAAAGCATATTTTCTCATCTCTCCAGACTCTGACCAGCGTGCAGGGTGAGACAACCGGGTGAGACATCCCCCTTTTCTGTTGCTCAACTGTGCCTGGAAGTAGGACAAGAATTCCCTCTGTTGTAGCAGATTTTGCTTTAGCAGAAAAAGGAATGCTAGGCCATATTTTTTACAGCTTCTGAGCTTCTTAATGTTGAGTACAACCTGTCAAGGCAGGGCATGAAATTATGTGCAAAGGCTACATTTAGACACCATTAAAAAGCTCAGAATTTAAGCTGCTTTGTTTTGCACTCACCACTGGAAGAAGACCGCTTGTGCCTTATGTGTCAGTCTGTACAGCAGAGACGCTTCATTTCGTGCTAGTTCATCTTCGGCATGGGAGAGCTGTCCTTCCCTGTTCTCCCTCCATGCATATAGCTGTCTGTTTTTACTATTGCTGTAAGAAACGACTGTATCTCTTGACTTTTACTTGGTGCGCTCATTCCATGCACTCGGTTCATAAAGCAAATGTGTTGAAAGAGGCTTGTGACTGATCGTACTGACATCTGAGAGAGACGGGGACTAACACAATGTCTTTTTTTTTTTGCTTGAGTTTTTGGGCAATCACAGTTATCTAACACAGCTAGCTGTTAAAGTTATGAGCATGACTTGTACCATCAATGTCAGTTTCTCTTTCCGACGTTCTTGGTCTTAATCTGTACCCAGATTTACTGCTGCAGATCCCTTAAACCTGTCTAGAACCTGCTTCCTAGCTCTTCCTAGATAGATACTTACATGGTTAGTGGATTTTATATTTTTATAAAGGCATTTTGTAAACAAATAGGAAAATTTTCATTAACTTTCAACCTTATTGTAGTGGAGTTTTCCTCTATGGCACATTATATTATATTAAAATATACAGTTATTCAAACACAGATGTATATGCAGTAACTGCTTAGATTTGCAAACAAGTTGATTTCTGTGAACTTAAGATTATATTTCAATTATTCACGTTTATTTTTCAAGCATTCATGAGAATATAATATCTAGTGAAGTTTGAATTTTATTGTCCACGTAAAATAAAATCAGCAGATCAATTTTGGAGGATGTCACTTCTAAAGAGAAATAAAATGTTACCAGTAAAATCCTAAATTGTATTCTAAAAGTTGATAGGATTGCTAACTAAATTATCAGCACTGACTGACTTAATTTTTTTGGTGATGGAGAAACCTGAATTAAGCAGAGAACTAAAATATTTTCAAAAGGACCTTGATGTGAGAATACATGTAAATATTGAGATGTATAATGTATTTTAGTAACAGTAGTGGCATAGTTGATGTATCAAATAAACTAGAGTTTGGAGAGGAAACAACAGCTCTCTAGGAACTGTCTTTCTACTTTATTTTACTAAGCTACTTATAAAAAAGTAAACTTTTCTATTTAGCAAAGTGTTCTTGTCACTTCCCTCAGCAAAGTAACACTGTAATGGATCTTGGGATAGTTTTAAAAACAGCCATTTCAATCCTTTTTTGCTGTTGTTCAGTATTTTAAGAGCTTCTTATTACACTCTCTTGCATTATTTTAAATATGAGTTCTGTCATTTGAGTTTGCATCCTTCAAATATATGTTGATTTCTTGTTTCACCTTAGGCATCATACAAGCTGTAGACATTGAATTTTCTATTCCTTCCTCATGAATTAGTTCCTTCATCAATTTTTTTTGTGATTGTCTCTGAATTCCCCGCAGGTTATACGTGTTTATCTGGAAGGTAGTTTCTTGAACAGAATCCTATATTCAAAGTGTTATTCCACCAGAGATGCTCAGAGGCAAGTGCTGCCTGTCTGCTCTGCCATGAGATAGCTCTGCATACTCAGCCTTAAATGGAAGGCACTGGCTTTCCTTAGCTGTCATTTCATATTGAAATCTCACAGTTCATTATCACGCACACAAGTCTTTTAGCATTTCTGAGGCTGTCCATCGGGCAGGTTTCTCTATCACGCTGACAATTTGCTCTTCAAACGATTCCCCCTCTCATTCTTTCAGCCCTCTGTGTTTCCAAAGATGCATCTCATTGCACATTTCTTTTTCAAGGGTCATGATTTTGTGGTGGGGCTGAGCACATTTTTGAACCTTTGAGGAGTCTTCAGCTTCTCCTGATTACTTTGAGAGTTGAGATATTTCATACGTCCAGAGGGACGGGATGATTGGAACTAAGCCTTAAATGATTTTGGTTTATATTTTTGCCTTTGCTGATGCCAAGCTGCTTTCAGTTTTTATCACCTGGTTGGTTTTTCTCTCCTAATAAGGTAATTAAGATAACTAGAAAGGTCTGTAATTGCACGATTTTTGTCTGTTGCATTCTTTGCTTCAGAGTTTCCATAGGCAGTCAATATTTTAAATTCTAGCCCTTATAATTCTTCAAATTGTCCCCAAATCTGACAAAACGTGTAGTCAAACCAGTTAAAACAATACTCAGCTTTCACAGGGTGCTGTATCAGAAGTTCACTTAAAATGCATATCATGTATATTAATTTTATTTTCCTTTGTTTTGTCATCCATTCAAGTAATTTTCTAAGGAAAAGTATTAGTTTCTAAGCCTGTCTTTGCTGAGCTGTGCCAATGGAAGAGTAACAGTTATAGGACACAAACCCAATAATGTTATAGTTTTATTGAAAAACGGTTACAGTGACATTTCCGTTTGTGAAAACAGGTTTCCCCTTGTATTAGCTGAGCCTTTGGAAACACAGTGATACATTTAGGCACAGAGCAGGGTAAGTGGTGCTTAAAACAAGCACAGTAATCATTTCCAAAGCCCAAACAAATGTGTGAGGGACTAGTGTACTGACTTTTATAGGTGGTGGAGGCCTTCTGCGTAGGCTTAACATGGAAGTAACTCATTATGTAAAGTCTCCAAAAGTGACCAGACAGCTATTCACTTGGTGAGAAATCTCCTTTCTTTCTGACTTGTTCACGTAACACCCCAAGTTTGTCTCAGCATTTTATTTTTTCTGTATAATCTGAAGGAAAGCCTGCCTGGGAGTCTCAGTAAAGGATAGCAAGTTTCACAGAGGCAGCCAATCTACTCACGTAGTGGCTAAGGAAGGTAGGTGCAATCGAACGTACATGAGCAAAAAATTATTCTTCTGCCGAACAACCTCGGTTCATGCTTTAAAGTGACTGCGGAAAAAAACTTGCAAACGTAGTGTTCTGAATGATCTTATTTATACTGCAGGCAAATTTTAAATTAGCTTGGAAATGTCCAAGCTAATCCTAGGAACAGCCAACTGCTTTGGTGGCAGCTACATGTTTCGCCGTATTTTGGTCAAATGTAATTGTCAGATCGTGCAGTCTAATCCTGGTTTTTATAGAAATGCATTGTGTTACTCTGTAATTGTAGCATTGTACTTATCTCCCATTGTTTGATTTTAATTTCTGAGTGAATGTCACAGCATCACTTCCCAGAGTTTATCTGCAGTGCATGAGGGTGGAATGGCACAGGACCAGAGCTGGTTCAGAGCTTCTTTCCAGTGTAGAAAAACTCAGTTTGCTGGCCAAATATTATGGGTTAGAATATTCCTGCCGTGGGGAGGAAAGAAGAAGCAGCAGAAGCAAAGCTGACTCAGGAAGGGCTAAAATGCTTGTAGAACTGAACTTGCTGCTCCCGTAGCTATTAGAAGGAAAGAAGGACTACTCATAATGACCAGGTTTGCTAGGAAGCACCACTCCCCTCTACGGTGCTTTCAGGGCTGCTTTTTCATGCCCTGTACTGCAGTGGAGCAGTAACCATCTTGCCAGCTCTGGAAGTCTGCTGCCTTAGGCAAATGCTTAATCTGTCTATCCCTAGAAATCTCTCTGGATAACTTCTTGGCCCATGGGATATGAACTAGCTGTCAAACAAACATTTGCTTTAGGTGTCTGCATACATTGGGAAAATATTCTCTTATCAAAGGAGTCTCTATATCTGCAGAGCCTTTAGGATTCAGAACAATAGAGGAAATGTGGTAAACAGAAAATGTCTACTTGCTTTAATATGGAAATTCTGGAATTTCAATTCAGAAATTTTCAGCTTGGAAAATGCTCTCTTGAAAGCAAAAACATTAAAGTCATAAGACAGGAAAGAGCGCCAAAATATCTATTTATCGATAATGGATAGATTAAGGAAGAGCTCTCTGAAACCTACCAGCATTTTAAAAAAGAATACTTTAAAAAGCATTGAGGCAAAACTTCAACCATGAGATAAATCTGGGAATAATAGTTGTCAGGAATCCCACATCGCTGCACATTATATAGAGGCTTTCTATCATCATCATGTACAGGCAGTCTTTCCCTTGTGAATACCCTGGAACAAAAAATGTCACAGGAAAAACTCTGAACCA